TATATATATATATATATATATATATATATATATATATATATATATATATAAAAAAAACTAAGTCAGTGAAGAAAACATCAAAATTTAGGTGTGACTTTGTAAGTTTCATCTTTCCTCTGCTCTCATCACTGCGATTCGTAAACAAGCAGTTTTCTGCAGGATTACCTTTTTTATGATTCATTAAAGGGCGAAACAGATGGGTTGGATGATATTCTTTGGAGAAGTCCAGTATCACAGAGCTTTAATGAGTAACAACAGCTTGTATTTGTCATAGAAAAGTCTGTACTTTGAGGTCAGAAAACCATTATAACAGAATATGAGTAGTCATATTCAACTTTAAGTTTCACATTTAGTCAAGTGGATTACTTATTTAACTGCATGTTGAAGTTAAAAAGATGAGATTTGACATTTGCAACCAGTTATGTCATATTTAGACAATTCAATTAAAACGTTTGCTTGACTGATTTGTTTATCCTCTGGAATCATTTTAGCCTTTCATGTCCATCTGCTTAGAGCCAGGACGGAGACATCTGTTACTAGCTGCAGTTTTTAGGAACCTAGGTAACAACCAGCTCTACACACAAACACACACATACTGGACAGCATAGTGACATCGGTTTGATTCCCTGCAGTGGTGACATATGGGCCCGCTGTGTGCCAGGTTACTGCTGCGGCATTTACACTTCTAGCACCACGATGACCCTGATTAATGAATAATCAGTTGTTGATTTAGTTGGGCATTTTTATAGAATATCCAAAAGAAGCAGTCTGACTCTCTAAAATATTTCAAAAAATATTAAGCTTTTGTCCTTTTTTACTGCTTTAAACATAATTTGTTGAAGTAATTCCTCAATTGCCCCTTACTGCCCCTTATTTGAAAAGTGCTACAAATGAGCTTACACTGCAAGCATTATGATTTCAGCATGGCATTGCTTTTTTATTCAGTTTGTCTATGTTAAGGTTTGTCTGTCCCTGTCAAATAAACCTAATTGTATTGAATTTAATACTTGCTGTAATTATTGAATATATTTGTCAGATCAAAACACTGACTTCAGTCCTGACCTAGGGCTTTCTGTAGAGCTCAAACTTTAGTTTGAGAATTTAAGTTTCAGCATTTGGTGATCAACAGCTCTATAATGTTACGCTCCTCTCAATACAGTGAGAATTTAAATAGGTTTAGTCACACTAATGGTTTTCATTCTAAAGTTGTTTCTTCAGATTTATACAATGTACAATTTGAATTACACTATTCTGCAACGGTTTTAAAACACCCCTAAAAGCCACAATGTGCTGACGTGTTTTAAAGTGGGATTAATCAACAGGTTTCCAGAATTTACAACTTTTATTATTTTGTTAAACATAATGGCTCTTGGATCTACAAATCCCTGAGGCAGAAAAAGGTCCTGACCAGTTAATTCCTTGGTGGGAAGTAACTGGTCCTCCTAATGGGAGTTAGGAGTTAAGTGTTGTAATGGAAGGTTGTTTTCTTGCTTATTTGTTACTGAAAACTAAATGTGTGTAAGATTTTAAAAAGAGTAAGAAAACAAAAAACACTTTTTCTTTCTTGCGATAAGTGGGTCCAGCTTTGTGTAACAACCAAATGTATTTCTACCACTGATTTTCATCCCACCATTTAATCATGCTTTTTATTAACCTGGCTATTTATTCGGTTTCATGGTGTGAAATTTATGAATATTCTCTTGAACATTTTGTCAGTTTCTGATTACAGCATAAGCCACAGCCACGTGCAGGATTTTTTTTCTTTTTTTTTTGCTAAATGTATTGCAGTAATGGCTCCATGTTGCATGTCACTCATCATAGAGGTCATGAACAGTAGCTGCAGTGCTTTATCCTGATGCAGCACAAAGCACTGCAGCTCCTGACCTTCCCTGTGGTCAATATCTTGTTAGTGCTAACCTTTGAGATCTCGACTGCTCCTCTGAGAACCGGGAGATCTTTGCTGCCTTGGTGCGTCTCAGCTTCTGCCCTTCTGCTGTTATTGCCTTCTAATTATTTCATGCATCCCCATTTCCGCACTCTCTGATGAGCTTATTCATGCCCGCTGTCTTGTCGAGGTCGCCACATTCTGTCAGTGGAGGGTTTCAGGAAGTCAGAATTTTCTTCGCAAGCAGCTTGACGAAAAAAACATTGAAGAATTAAGTACGAGGGTAATAAAAACGAAGTGCAAGCAGAAGTGTGAATATTGGGAGGTGAGAGCATGTGTGAGAATGCCTTTGTTCATTTGTGTGTGAAAGTCCTTTTCATGCTGTCTTGTTGTTGGCTGTGTTAAGCTCAGAAGCTGCTGACCAAAGAAGGAATACAAATGTGTCACTTTATCAACATCAAAGCTTAATAATTAACAATATCCACGTAATGTTGCTGAGTATTTAAAATAACCAAATAAGTTCACCATCTGTTATTCTAAAAATATATAATAAATTGTGTTATACGATGTAAAAAAAAATAGAGCAAAAATAGTCGACTCTGTTTTGTCTTCTCTACGGGGTTCCATCTTCACACTTACTCTGACGAAAAGAGCTTCCTTCTGATGCTGTCTCTGTTTAAGACATGCAGACAAACTCTCACACCAGGGAGCCTGTGTCACTTTGTATGTTCTCTAGCATAATTAAAGGAAACATTTTTTGAACACACAACTCTTTAGACTTGATATTCTGCTCTTTTAGTGGAGTACCTTTGTCTTCACATAACCATTTATTAAGAACTGCTTCAATTTGTCCGGATCTGCCAGATCTAATTGAATTTTTAAAACAACAATTAGGGTCATGTCATTGTTTACATTATGATTAAAGAGCTTCTATGCACTCTGGAAATGTCTAGAATTTTATTCAAAAGTGTTACAAGTGCTGACTTCATTAAGGTGATAAATTGTTGGTCAAAAGTTAGATCAATCCATCCATTTTGAGCCTTTGCACTTGCAATGAGAACGCTGAGATTTTGTATTAATTTTTATCTTCAAAAAATATGCAGAACTCTCACAATAGTATATTTTGAACACTTGAAGTGTCACTATGAATTGTTGTTCCATAATGAGTTTGAGTTATATGACTTATACAAAAAGGCAGAATATCCTATTTAAGAAAATTTCATTTCACCAAAATAATGGAAAAAAGGAGCCTGTTTTTCTGTTGCTTTTTCATACCAAACTTCACAAACACTTGTAAATATATTCACTAGTCTGTGACATTTTTTTAAATCCCACATTACAAAGATTTATAGCTCACAAGATGTGTCCCTAAATTTGCCTTATATTGTACAAGTACAGGCCATTTAGTAGTGGTAATACTCTAAAATGCTAAAACCACCTTTACACCTCAGAAAATCTAATGGGTAACCAACAAACACATGCCATTAAGACACTTGCAGTTGCTCTAGTTTTCGATGCTTTTGTGGTCTCCCAAAAACCTGAAATGGGAGCTGTTTTAAAAAAATTACTATCTAATTGTTGAGTTGAGAAATTATTTTCAAGAAAGAAAGTTCGGAATCTTCCCATTATTGGATGACTAAAAATTTACTCCGATGCGACACTGAGCGGTGCTCAGAAAAATAAAATAAAGAAAAAAAAATATCTAAAACCAACAGCACAGGCTTCAATTAAAATACTAAATACCAATGTTCAAAGCAACACAAGTAGATAAGGAGAATGTCTTACTGCTGGAAAGAAACAGTGCAAATCATAAATTTGCTGAGTTGCATTGAAAAGAAAAGCAGTAGTTGTAGCTTTCACCTTTTTTATGCAGATGATATTTCAAATGTGAACTTCTCGTTCTTGGAAATGGTTAAGCATTATTTCGGAAAGATGACTATCTGGAATTATTTTGCAGATCAGTAAATTGCAAACCGTTTGTCTAATAGATGAGGCTTGTCTCAAATTGGACCACTCAACTGGCCAATGGTCCAAGTAAGTCATGGAACTTTACCTCAGTTTGCAATAAGCAAAAAAATCACAAGGAATAAATTGCATTATGTTGGATATAATCCTTTAGAATCTTGCATAGTTTCTGTTTTATTCTAAAGCTGGTTCACATTTTGAATCATGATAAAATGATCTGTCATTTTGGGAAGAAAGATATATTTTATGGACTCATGTAAGTTAATAATTATGAGCTGCTACTCTGTATTTGTCTGGGACAGAGAGGCTCATTTTCTCTAGCTATCCTGCACCGTCGGGCTGAGCTGACTGGTGTCAGAGGGAGGCAGTGTAGAGGAACGTTGAAATTTCTCTGACTTGAGAGGCTACCAGGGGCACACAGACTCTGCTGGTGACACCTCCTTAATGTGCAGGAGACGACAGGTAGACAAGGCAATACGGGAACCTAAAGGCCATTAGAAATGTGCAGGAAACGACTAATGAAGATGCTGGGCACTACCTGCCCAGAAAGAAAACACAATTTATTCAGCGGAGATTTCAGATAAGGCTGAGGTGTTCTGTATAGTTGTCAGACAAATGAAACTTAGTATTGGTGTGAAGGCAAATTAATTGACAGCATCTGTATGGTGACCAAGAAGTTAATGCATCTTGGTGGTGACAGTAGCATCTTCTGTGCCTCGTTTTTTCCCCAAGGGATTCAAATCCCTCTAGAGAACCAATCTCAGTGAAGCCATGGCAGGATTGTCTGGATTTCTCCACTGATTCCTGAAAATGGTTCACATTGCTGTTGAACTGAGACTTCAGAGCAACACATGAAGGTCATCATGATGTGATTTCAACCGTTAAGGCTTCCTGTTTAAACCTGCCCTTTTATTTGGATGCAGGAAGAAATTCTTCTGTGCAAAACTAGTTCACTTCAATGACTTAAATTTATTTCCCTCTGCAGGGTATGTGGACATGGTTCAAGGGCAAAGTACGCTGAGGATTTAAATGCATCAAATATATTAACTATTAAAAAATGTTTAATAAAAAATGCTACTAAAAATTGCAGAGAAATATATGGATTCAACATATTCACATTCATGCGTTTTGTAAGCTTCAAGAACTTCAATTATTATTATTTTTTACATAAAATGTTTATTTTAGCAGTACAGCAGGAAAATTCACCCACTTTCCATACCAGCTTATTTCTTATCAGGATTGCCAACCTGCATTGTTCCCTATTGGAAATTGGTCCATTACAAGCCAGCAATGAGATAGACAACACAACAAAACAGACATGTGCACATTCCTTAATTCACACCAAAGGGCAATCTAGCAAAGCCAATTAACTAAACAAGCTTGTTGTTCTGGAAGATGAAGTTAGAGTATTTGGAGAAAATCCAGAGAGAATGTTCAAACTCTATGCAGAAACACCTTTTAAAGCTAACAGGGACAACAAGGAGGCCGTCCAACCCTAGTCTACCATGTAGATATCTGTCAAAACATTCAGAGAAAATTACATGAAATTTTTCAAAGTAAAATAAAATGCATAAAAAAACTGATTAAGTCCTTTTGTGTTTTTGTAGCATTAAATAATTGCTTTCTCATTGCCCATCGGAAGCAAAGTCTGATTCTCCCAAAGGCGTGTATGATTTAAAAAAAAAAGTATCATTATGTGACTTTGACTTTGTGTGTACAAAACTAACCTGTTTACACTCTGACTTGCTTCCCTGATGAGAATAAACCAAATAGTTGCATGGAATGTATTTTTTACTTCAATACAACATTCCAGCTTCTTGAAACATGTTGTGTTTTGATATAGTGGATCTCCTTTCTCAATTTTTTAATTCAGTTTTTCAGATGAGCAACTAATTCATTTTCAAACAGTAATATTTTCTTGAGTCTTTGAATGTTAGAATTTTATAGATACATAAAATTTGTGCAACACCGGGTATTTTTCTTTAAGCAAATAAATCTTCTGAAAGAAAACACTCACTTTCTGCTCTCTCTGATTGTTTTAAAAGCCACTTTATTGTCTCATGGCGTTTACGGTGGACAGCTTGTGAATGTGAATGCTTTGAATTTTATTGAAGTTCACATCAAACACACATTTCTACATATATATATATATATATATATATATATATATATATATATATATATATATATATATATATATATATATATATATATGGAACTCACTGAGTACAGACAGTTAAAATAGAAAACAGCAGCTGCTTTGACAACGTTGAAGTATTAATGAAGGTTTTGATGAAAACAGACAAATAATGCAGGTGTTGGATTAGAAAAGTGGCTGTGCAGAAAAACAAACACATGAAACAAATTAGATGTCTGATCATATAAGCCTGGTGACATTTGGAAACCACTCATACTTAATAACTGGGTGGTCATAACTTCATTATCACCGTTTCTTTTACAAGATGAAGGCTGCCATGAATATATCCTTGTCTCTGTATCACAATGAATAATACACACACACGCACGCAAACACCCCTACACAAGGTGGAATTTTAATATATGAAGCGTGATCCTCCACTGCCATCTATCGGTGTCCTTTTTAAATCAAAATACTCACAGCAGTCCTCCACCAAACTACAAGAGTCCTGCAGTGGGATGATTTTGTATTTTCAGACTTGAATTGCAAAAAATAGTCTCTGCATATTTCTCTTTGAAAAATATAAATGTATTGTGGTAAAGTGTGTTAAACCAGTTTGGTTCACAGCCTTTTCATTCAACCCTACAAAATTTAAATAAAAAACAATTTGTCACAGCATATAGTACATTATGTGACTCATCAGAATAAAAGCTTCATAACTAAATGAACATCTGCTTACAAGAGGTGATCATTTTTAAGTGTTAAGATGTTTTATGTCAAATTGCTTGTAGTGAAGTCACCTCATCAGCATGTGAATTAAAACAGAAGCAACCCTCATTTAAAAATATAATATCTGAATAAAACAATTAAGACTTTTATTCATTTAAAAAGTGATAAACACCTATGTTTATCTGTGTGTATATGTGTGTTTTTTCTACCTATGAGAGTGCCAATGAACTGCAGAAATGCTTCAGATTGAAGCCAGTTATAGTTGCAGTGAAGTTTATGGAAAAGAAGTTTGTCACTAGTACGTACTTTAGGCAAAATCTTGTAGGTACGTTGGTGACTAAAACCTTAATTAACTTGTCAGTCTGTTCCCATCTGTCTTCCATCTTTTCACAAGTTTGACCAGCTGGCCTAAATGTACTGGGAATCCATGATGTCCAGATACTTGGCTTCAATCATTCGAGGAAGCAAGCTGATCCTGAGATCAAAAAACACAACACATTAAAGTGATTATTTTCTTATTTGAAACAAGTGATCATGAAGGCAACTTGTTGAAACCACAAAAATGTCACATTTTATTTTTCTGAGTCATTTCTTTTATAAGTTGGGAGGTGTAGAGATTAGGTCTGAGGTAAAAAAATAAAGTATATAAACTTGTGTGTGTACATAAAATTATTATATATACTATATATTTAGTAATGTTATATTATATAAACTTACTCCACAGTCAAAATAATTCTGAGTAAAATTGGTCAAAGGCTTTTTGAAGCCATTCTGCCCCCTGCTGGCTGTGAATGTCTCACCTAATAGGGACCAGGAGGATCATCAGCAGAGGAAACACCATCTTCATGTAGGGCAGAGGATACATCCCAAATGCACACAAGATGATCAGCTGGATCATCTGCACTGCTGTGAAGTAGTGCACTTTTCTCTGAGGTACACGGCGTATGTAGTGGGTCGGAGGGTAAGATGTCTAGACAGATGGGAAGTGGATCATACAGTTAATATTCTGTATTAAATTAGATTGAGTTCAATGTAATAGCAATAGCCCAGGGTGGAATTACAAATGATGCACACTGGCAATCAGATGAAGTTTTGAAAAATATATTTTTTTTTCTCTCATTTGTACCCAAAGTTTTGTAATGAATAATTTCATGTGCAGCTGCGTAGCATAGTAGGCTAGTTGGGTGTTGTGTAAATGTTGTGTAGTTAGGAGCTTTTCTGAATGTCATCTGTAAAAGATTACAAATGTTGTCATCTTTGAAAGCAAAGGCATTGTTTTGTGAATTTAGTAACATGACGGTTCTGTATCAGAAATAAGACTTTAGTAGCTCTTTTCTTCTGTGCCTGATCCAGAAGTGTAAACCGCATACCAACTTCAGCCATTTGCAGTTTAATTAACTTTTATTACAATGACTATGCTATGCAGAGCACTGGATACATGCAAATAAGATGGGTACAATAACTTTGGAGCACAAATGGCTGATTTGTTAAAAAAATAAAATAAAATCCTCATCAAGGTTGTGCTGGCCTGGACAATGAGCCACATTCAACCATATGAAAACTGCTGCTGACCCCATCTTATAATATTTGTTATTTCACAAATTCGAAATGGATAGAGAAAGAGACAAGTCTTTGTTGTAGCAAGATAATCTAGCACACACAGCACCGTTGTATTACGGCAATGTTTCCTCTATTTCAGACATTATTGTTGTTATTATAGCCAGAAAATATAGTCCTCCATTTTTGTCTAAGGTCTTTGATACTTAAAAATCTAAATCGACATGTTTTTGTTTTGTCATTTCTTTTGTATGCACTATTTTTGAATCCCAGTATTTGTCATTATTGTAATTGAGCACACAGCAATCAATAACTAAGTTGTAGAAAGATGTATCTTAGTTAGTTATCACTAGATGGGTGAACCAAACATTTCGTGGTCTTTCTGCTCACCTGCTCCTTCAGCAACAAGGTCATGCGATCTACCATCTGATTTCCATCGAGTGAGGTGGCTGCAATGTAAAGGAAGAGGCCGTAGAGGACGGGTTTGGGGATCCACTGAAGAGGAATAGGGAGCATGAATGCAGACAGGCCGATCAGGATGTTCGCTACTAGTGAGGTTAGACGCGTCTCCTTGACACTAACGATCCTAAAAGGACAGAAACAAAGCTAAAAGAACCAGCTTTATCAAAGTACTGATGCTCACCTTGATAAGAATGTGGTTTATTTTTAGCAGTGAAGAAATTAAGTGAACTATATTGGTTGGCTGACGTGTCCTACATAGTAGAAAATTTTAACTTTCAGGGTTGAAAGGATTTTGTATTGCTTAACTTCATTTGCAGTAATATAGGTTAGGTTGGTATGCTGCTGTATTGTTTGGCAGCAGTTTGGCAACTACAATCCTCGAGGGCTGGACCCCACAAAAACATAAGACTGAGATAGAGCTTCAGCTTTCTCCAAGAGCAAAACCTTAAACCACTTATGACCAAACTTTGCTTCATTTTTTTATAAAATTGCAAATACTTCTAATTTCTGTTTCAGTAACATGCAGAAATTGTCTTCTGTCTTCCTTGGATAGTGAGAAAAACATTAGTACCATTTAGATTTTTCGGGGGGCCCTGTTTTAACTTTACTCACGTTGTGTAGACATGTCCGTTCTCTACGTGCTGTTCTACTTTGGCAAGCTGACGGGCGTGTAGGGAGGAATGAGGAAAGGCAGCGTGCATCCATGGCAACCCCAGACAAGACATGAGGATGTTGATGAAGCCAGTCAGCATTAAGTCCCAGTGGAATGCTGTGCCTTTTAACAACCTGGTGAAAATGTGCATACACACACATAACGCTCCAACTTGTTTGTAAGTGTAGAAGGAGGAGTGCATCTGTTCTAATTCAGAAGCTATTACAGAGAAAAAGGATAGGACATAATTGCTGTCATACTTTCTTGTCTTGCTGCTGTATTCAAACATCAAACTGGAGCCTTACTTGTGTTCTGGTACATGTGTAAGTGAGATGACGATGTTCTGGTCGATAAAGATAAGCAGTGCAAGCAGGAAACCAAGTCCGATCGCGGCAAGTGAAGTCAGACCTGACAGGTTTTCAAATGCTGGGTACTTGAAGATTGGACCATCATGGACACTGAATACAGGAACTTATAAGAGAGAAAATATATTATAAACACATGCACAGCACAAACAAAAAAGTGAAATTAAAATCAGGATCCTTTCCTGCATGCAGGTGTTGTTTAGGGAACATTAATATTCTTGTCTTTTGAATACATCAAAAGCCACAGAAGCGTTGAATCACAAAAGGTGTTATGTGCCAAGGTTGTGTGTATAAACCTCAAGGGTAATCTTCTATCAATGCTTTGATTCGACGGCTCTGTACTCACGCTGTATGTCAATGAAAAGATAGGAGCCAATGAAGGAGAATATCACCACAGAGATTGGCAAGGCACAGTCAGACACCACGTCTCTGATTTTACCGTTCAGGTACGGGCTGCATGGGGAATAAAGCATCACATAGTGCAACTTTCTATAACTTTTATGCAGTGTGTTATACAAGACTGGATGGTATTCACACTGGTTGCTGCTGTGCTCACTCTTTTAAGATGAAAACAATAACAAAACAAGTCAAGTCAGGCTGGCACAAAAAGTTATGAACATTACATGTCTGTTTGTAATGTGAATCTTTTTCAAGTTTTATTTTACAGAAAATCATTTAAAATCCATAAATAGCTTGTTGCTTCCTGCCTGCGGTATGGAAAGTGACTTTTTGTTTTTTCTTTTAGTAAAATGAGATTCTTTTGCTGCCTCTAGTATCATGTTTGTTACAAAAGTCAATTTTAGTAAAACTGCAAAGTAATTTGTCACTAAGACTTCCTGCTGACAGAACAAATGTGTAAATGTGTTTAATAACTTAATGGTGCCAGAGTAAGAGCATAAACAGATGCTCTTCAAACTCCCCATGGAAACGTGCAGCCCTAATGTTTTAGTGAATGCTGAATTTATTTATCTCTATAATGATTCTTCAAGTTGCTTTAGATCGTTATTTAAAAGGAAGCTAAAATTATTTTTAAAAAGTCTATTTACCAATCTGATGTGAGCAAAAAGATTGCTGAGATACTTTGAACTGAAAGCGAGAGCTGATGTAATGCCCCCTCCTTTTCTCATGCCAGCCTAAACTGATGCAATACGAAGGAAACATTGCCTTTACTTAGAAGGCATTTAAAGGGCGGTGCACCTTTTTTTAACATTTATACCTTCTCTCGTTAATATTTATTCAAGAGCAATAAATCTAGAGCACTATTTCTCAAACCAGTTACTTCAGGGCCCACTATCCTGCATGTTTTAGGGTTTTTTCATATTCACATTACTGAAATAAGTACGATTAGCAGGTTTCTTCAGCACTTGATGGCATGCAGCAGGAAATGGTTTTTGAATTAGGCATACTGGAGAAGAGTTGCATACGAAAGATAAAGGATAGCAGAGAAACACTGCTCTAGAGAATGCAGTTTGGTCTTGCAGCCATTGTTTAAAATGCCTTTCACAGCCGGTTGTAGAGGTTCACCCTGGAGTCTTTTATGATTTAATTTACAATTCTGATGTTCAGAAAAAATACCACTCAGGGAGGAGACAGGTAAAGCAAAAAAACTTTTCAAAATGCTGGCCGAACCTGGTGAGAGAGTGTTTTTATCCACTAATACGCTGATATGAGCTGAAATGCCATTCATCAAAGGAAGAACACATAACTCCAAAATCAAAACCTTAATTTTGGAGACATCTGATGAAACTAAAACTGAATTGGCTGACCATGCTGAAAATGTTCAAATTTGGAAGAACAATCCAAATATAGCATTTATGGAGGTAGCAATGTGACGTGTGGGTGTTAAGCAGCAGGAAGCACATTACAATATACAGCATTAAGATGAAACATTATGTACCAATGTTGATGCATCATCTTAGCCAAAAGGCCAAAAAAATGGTGTTTAAGATGGACAGGGATCCTAAGCGTTCCACTAAATCATTTCTGAGGTTTAAAGACTCCAAAGTCAATATTTTAGTAACAAAGCTCCAAAATCACAAATTTTCAGGGGAGAGGCAGAAAGATGAAAGTAACCAACAAACCTGACTCAGTTATACCAGTTCTGAGCAAAACATCCATTTTGGGAGATGTTTGTGAAAGGATACCCAGAAAATTTAGTTCAAAATCCAATCTGAACAAATACTAAGAAATTGTGTGTAAACTTTTGAATTTAAAGAAAGTGCTTAAAAAATACTTCCCCCCATTCTAACACTTATTAAATATTTAAAAAAAGAAAAAGTTAATCCTAACTGGCCTAACATAGAAGTTAAAATAGAATAGAAGGAAGATTTTGTCTTTTTAAAATAATGTATCAAAATAACTTGTCTAAGTTGTATAAGGTGTTGCAATCTAGAAATTATTGGTATGTTCAAAGAATCAATGTAAACCTGGCTTACTTAGTATTCAAATTCTATTATGCTAGTGTCAATAGTGAAATACAATACTTAAAACTTTATTCAAATTAAGTTTGTTTCAAGCAAAGTATAAACCAGGTGGAGGAACAAGCCTTCAAATTGAGAAATGGAACCATACCTCCTCTTGATGAGGTAGAGTGCGTAACCCAGCCACAAAGTCCCCAACATGAGCAGCAGACAGAGAATGGGCCTTTCTCTTGTGCATTCCACCAGCGTCTCTGGCAGGAAGACTAATATTTTCTCTTCTGAATGTTCAAACAGTGACATGTTGGTCCCAATTTTATGCTCCAGCTTGGTGGATGTTCGGTTCTCAAACCCATCCAGAATCTCATTTATCTGCTGAAGCACCACCGTTTTGTTTGTGGTTGCCAATGTTGGCCCATAATAAAAGTGTTCAAAAACTGTGGAAAAGGATGTGAGAGGTTAGTAAGAATATTTGGGAAAACTGACATACAAATTTGCTTATTATTGTTGGAAATTTTTGTCTTAAGGAGCGTTTCTTGTAACTTGACAATATTTTTACATTTTATTTGAGTAATTTGAGTAATCAGTATTTTTCAATACCTGAGAAGATATGTGATTAACCATGTTTTCTAGTCAACATTATCTATAAAGGACAGATTCACAAAATGGCCAATGTATCCAGAGCTTTTCTAGACTTACTTTTGACGGTGCCTTTCACTGCATCTCCAACAAAAGCTATGGAGATGAACAATGCAATGACCTCTTCTGTTGAGCTATGAGATAAAGACAAGAAAAAAGAATAACAAGTCATGTTTTATGTTTTTATTTTCAAAAACACAGACATAACAACCTATTCAAGGCAACCTAAACAGAAGGTATACCAACAAAAAACACTGATTAATGATGGCGAAGCCAGAACATTATAACAAACAAAACTTTTTCTTATTATTGATTTCACTTCAGTAAGTGGCCCCAGGGGTCAATGGTTCTTTTAATGTGTTACAAATCAAAGTCTGTAAGGAGAAAAGGAGTCATGTTGTGTATTCACCGTTTGAAGAGTTTCATCATCAAGCTGACATTGAATAAGCCCCCGAGGATAAGGAAGAAGCTGTTCCATAAACCGATGCAGGCATAGAAAGCATCAAAGTCCAGGCCGTAGTCATCACAGATACCCCTGATAACTATGAATTATGTATACAAGACAGAACTCGTAAATATGTTTTTTTTTCAAAATCAGAAAAGTTTTTCCTGTAAAACTACTTGGAAAAATGTGTAATTATCTGTCTTAATATCATAGCAGTTTTTCAGCCTTTCTATGAATCTTTGTGTGTAAACTGTAAAATGTTTTGTTTTTCTGTTGATTTAATCAAAAAATTATCTGGTAAAATGAAGTCCACTTCTGTTTTTATTTTCTTTTTTAAAAAGAATTACAGAACAACACACACCACTGATGAAAATGGCCAGTGGGGCAGTGGTCAGAGGAATGACCAGAGGGGAACCAGCAAACAGAGAGTAGATCACTCCTCCAATGCTTTGGCCAACAATGGTCTTCTGAACATCTGTCCATGCAAAAAACAACCATAATTTTGCATGTGATACATAAAAATAGTGATGTATCAGATAATAATAAAGATAATGTCAATACCTATTTCCCCTCTTGTGCTTTCATCATTCAGAGAACCAAAAGCAATTGCAGGCAGGAGAATGGCAATGTAGAGGAAGATAGCTGTGGTGGTATATTTCAGTAAACAGCGATCCTTCCCTGTCATCCCTGTTAATTGGTCAAACAAAGATGTAAAAACCTCAAACAGAAACTTATCAAAAAAAAGAAATTTACAATATTGTCACACCGTCTGTGAAGTCTGAAGGATAAAGAGGCAGTCGCCGACGAAGGTCATCATAAACACCTCGACCGGCTCTGAAGAAATCTCTGCACTGTGAGACACAAAGCAGAATATAACAGCAATTTAAAGGCTTTTGTTTGTCTGTACTATACAAAGTACCTCTGGCCCAGTGTTTCTGTGTGTAGCTATGTTTCTTTCCTGCAGTTAAGCTAAAGAGAGATCTATTGCTGCCATTATCTTTGTCTACTTTTCACATTTCTTTCCCATGGAAAGCATAACTGGCCCAGAGCCTCTCTGTTTAGCTATTTCTCTTTCCTGGAGACTTTCCATGATTTGTTCAGCTAAACTTTAACAGTGAGATCTTGAAACAGATTGAAGACCTTTTGTAACAGGTCAGATATATGCTTGTTTCTACAAAGTTTCTGGTATGGTTACGATTGTAATCAAATACAGTTTTTTCTTTTCAGTGTTTTACAAATGCTTTTGACTGAAAATTTCCACATCTATCTAAGACCTTTTTTTTAATACTGACTTCAGAGTATTCCTAATCAAGCAAATCATTTCTTGTGTGACCAAGACTTTGAAGGATGTTTGCAACTTTATTTTTAAAAAAACGTTGAGCGAGTTTACGATTCAATTATCAAGAAAACATATTGTGAATCTACAATTTTTTTGAAAAAGAATGCTAAATCAATCAAAATGTGGGTAATTTTTAAAATACCTATAATGAAATGTAGACATTAGATTGGGAAATGTCCTGGTTAATCACCAAGAGTGATGACAATTTGAGTGTATGCTTCATATTTGGAAATACAATTTTTCTATATGCATGCTAAATAAGGTGTTTAAATGATGTGCAAGTATAAAATGAGCATAAAAACAAATGTACCAGATTATTTTGTTTGGTTTGTAGTTTACAATCCTGGAATTAAATCACAGTGTAAGAGGCAGCCTGACAGCTACAATGCAAAGTGTTGTTTTCAGCCCAGTCAGATCAACAACCTGTTGGGAGCTGCAGCCTTTTTACAACCCAGACCAGTATGTTCTCTCCTTTCAGCCTTTGGGTGTTCCTTCTTCTTCCCCTGCTTAACACAAACATTTCCTCCAAATTTGAAAACTCCATATAATGAAGTAGTTTATCGTTGCACTGAGCTGCAGACATTTTGCCTTCAGCATAGTGAAGGAGTTGCCAGTTTTTTCTTTTTTTTTTTTTTGTACTGTTGCCCAGCTGCTTCTCATTCTACCAGTCTAGCTAATAGAGTGTACAAACAGGATACTCAGATAATTTGGCTCATCTAGTTTACTTCACCACATCTTTATATGCCTGGATAGAGCCAGAAAACACAAGGGTGGTCTCCACATCTGGAGAGTTTGAGAAGTCAGTACAGAGTGTAGTATAAGGATAAGGATGTTCCAGCAGACATCTTCTTGTTCCTTTGGTTAATGCGTTTTGGCATTCATTTATCACCCTTTTGTAGCTATATATGGTCTCTTATAGCAATAAATTCTAGACTGATTACACACAGAACTGCCTGTATTATGAGTCTACACTTTTATTACACACCTGGAGTGCTTTTCCTCTTCGTGGGTCTGAGTCCTCCACTTCCTCTACGACTTTCTTCTCACTGGCGACAGAGAGCTGGTGTCGCTGGGAGACCAGCTCCTGTTTGAACTCCTCCTGAGTTTTGGTCTCCAGAAGCCTTTGCCTGAAGTCAATGTCAGAGAACATCGTGGCAAATGTCCTACCCAGTTCAACAGCTGTCTTGGTGCTTTTCTGCAAAACATTGTTCATAAAAAGGAATTTAACAGACGGAAAGTGTCCTATTTACATAATAGGACTTTTTCAATCTCACATTTTTTGCTAGACATCATCCTTAAGCGCAATGATTTTTCAAAAACCAAAAAAAATGGCTGCTCAAATCTGAGTTTGTTGTCTTTCTCTAATCCACACATGGTCAAAATTATACATACCAACTCCAAAAAAAACATACAGTTCCACTGATATACAGCTTCCCCGAGCAACGTCCATGTTAACAGAAAACTTTTTGTAGTCATAAACACATTTCTGGGGAGTTTTCTGGGTTGCTGTTTGAGTATGATTCTCAGCAGAATTGTTCATTGAAACAATTTTTGATAGGGTTGAGGTCAGAGCCACTCTAAAACCCCAAAGTTAACCTGCTTCATTACTTAAAACCAATTCTTATGTTTGTATTACATCATTACTGGAATTTGTTGGAACATTCAACTATGTCCAAGTGATCACCATCTACCTTTAATTTGGACACAGACCTGCTTCTTCATTATTTTATCCACTGTGTTCAATTTATGAGTACCTCTAGTCACAACATGCTGCTACCACCACCATGCTTGACAGGTAACATTTGTTGTCATTTTGTACAACTTACAATGTATGTAAGTCAAGTTAATAGACTGACAGCTGCTCCAGCTTTTACTCATTTGACCATAAAACTTTTCTCCAAAAGACAATTGGTCTTTTGGACCAAGCAGACATTTGGATCAATGTATTGATTAGAAAACAGGACTTTATTTCTCGATCAGTGAAAAAAATAAGGTTTACAGTAGCCTTCTCAAAATCACAAGCAACATCATAATATCCCAGAAGGTGGAATCTTTGATAAATATAAAACTAACCAAAGACTTGTGGGATAAAATCTACTCAAATAATCATTTGATAAAAGAACTATTCAAATTCATCATTAAAATAATGGAATTATTCAAATGTTTTTGCTCAGGTTTGTTCATACAAAGTTCCCAAGGATGCTCAAAGTATTTGGTTTACAGTTTTTGCTTTACCGTTCTTAGTGGTGCGAGGATCAGGATAACATAACGGGCCTCGCAGCAGTTGACTCCCCAATTTTGTGGCCTCTCCAGTCGGGTAATACAAACATGGCGCCTCTGTAGGTTTCTCACATTGGAGCTTTACAAAAAAAAAAAAAGGAATGCTGTAGCATTTAAAACTTTGAATGATCTGACATCACCATGGTAGAATGTAAATATTCTGTGATCACAAACATGGTAAGAAAGGATAATTGTCACAGCTAAACTCACAGAATACAAAGCCAAGACTGCTGATAATGAATACCGGTTGAAGTAGCAGTCACACCCTGAATAGTCTCTAACAGAAGGTGAACTGGAGAAGCAGAGCAAATGAAAAGATGAGACGGTTTTAATCTTTATTTTGCAAGAAAGTAATTGTGAAAACTTCCTTTCTTCACTCACCATTAATATCTCTGCCTCCTGCATCTGTGAACAGCGAGTTCATCACCTCTTCTACGTCACAGTTGCCCTGGCCGTCTTCCACCATGTGAGCAATCATTCGTCTCAGAACCTCATCCAGAGTGGCAGCTTTTTCATCCAGAAGGATGCTTGCCTGAGAAAGAAAGCTGTCCAGATCTCTGTGGGCACGCACTTCCTCTTGGAAGTTCATGGGTTTTACATACTGATAGGAAGGAGAACAGAATATATGTGATTAAGAACTGCAAAAGGAAATTGGTCATCTTATGGGCCTTATACGAGAAACGGATCTCAAGACATTTCAATTTAACTGAGTGCTTGAAGAGATATAATTTACAGTACTTCCAAGAAATGTCACAGAAATATTGAAAGCTGAAAACTAGTTTTGCTAATCACTTTACTTCACTCTGACTTTGTTAAAATAACTGATTTTTTTCAGGCAGTTACTACAGCTACCTCTCTCAGAAACCCCAATTTATTTTCCACCTGGGTTTTACACAGTCACCCATTTATGCTGCTGAATGCTGATATATTTTTTGGACTCTATTTTAGTACTTTTGATCATTTGGCCCTTTTTGATTATCATTCTGAGACAACAAAAGTATTATGTCAATGGCTCTTTATTGTCATTGTTTATCTTACACAACTTTAAAAAAAATGAGATCTTGGTCTTTCCAGCTTGTTCTGAGTAATAAAAATAAACTATGCCCTTCTTTAAATTCCAGATTCCTTATTCATGTATCAGTTCAGAAACTGTTTACATTGAGTCAATGTTGTACATGAGAGGCAATTTGCTGTGTTTTTTGAATCTTGAAGTTAGATTTAAAACATTTAATGTTTTGCAGTTTTTTTGTTTTTTTCAAAAAAAAAAAAAAACTGAGAAATAAAATCTTACTTTTCTTGTTGTGTTTAAAAGTCCATATCCCGGACCTTCAGAATCTGTATAAAGAGAAGCAAATAAAATGCTTAGATTTTGTCATCATATCCAAACTTTTTCTAAAATTTCCAGTTTATTTTAATGCCTCATTTAAAGCAATATTTCTCTGTTGTTTCTTAGTTGACCTGAGTTGCTAAATCCACAAGTGTTCACTTTCCAGAAGAAACTCCCATTTACAAACCTGAAACACTGAGGTGGATGTCATTTTCATAAATGTTGTCTGTACTGATGGTAGGTGAGTCCTGATCTGAAACTTCCTTCTCTCCATCCTTCAGCTCTGTGGATTAAAACATTAAAGGGCAAACACAAAAAACAAACAAGTCTCAGTCTTTGAAACACATCTCACTCTGTAGTTTCAGCTTTGGCACAAATAATTTGTTTTACAACGGACATAATTGCATAAAAGTAGCCGCAAATGTCATTAGAGAGCCTCCGAAGCTGCTGCGTTATGATCACACTGAGATAAAACTGCTTTTTGAATCAATGGGATGCTAACCACATTAGCAGCATCTCCAGTAAGGGACAATTTATTCTGCCCTTCCTCCACTTTGCCATCTGTTGACAAGAAAACAGCAAGAGGGAGAGAGAGCGAGAGACCCAATAAAAAAATCCCCCTCAAACCAGACATGCTGCAATATAACAACAGCAGCCTCTCGTAAATTCCTTTATGTATAGAAGATAAATATGGGTTTTTGATTGCGAGTTTTATGGGAGGAAGAGAAACTGCCTCAGAATTAGAAAATTAACCCTTCACAAGCACGGCTTTGTGTAATGATTATTCCTTCAACTCATCATTAACTCAGAGATCACCTGCCTCGTTTTTCACCTATTAATTAACCTTCCACCACACAGACAATGGACCGGCTGTTCACAGCAGGATGTGAAATCAGTGAGCAAAGAGAAACTTTGATATTAGCATAAAGAACCAATTAAATACATTGATGCATGTATCATCCCACAGGAAAATACCTTAAATAATATTTGATGAAATGTAGAGCACATAAAGTTCATAAGAGGTGAGAACCAGGATGAGAAAAGCAGTATCAGTAAACATTATGTGTGGATGCAGCTACATACCCATCTCCTGGAAAACATATCCATTCTTAGACCTCCCAGTGGATGGAGCCTCTGCGGAAGTGACAAAATAAACATGTTTACGAAGCTTCAGGCTCAGTTTCAAGCTGGCAGTCTCTTTTATTAAAGATTTTTATTGTTGTTTGTATTGTCTGGAAAGTCACCATCCCTCACTTCAAATATGGAAAGGTTAGAATCATATGAACTCTACGCAGAGGAGAATGATGAAAAAAGTTAATCATCCAAAACTTTGAGCAGTATGAGGACCTGTCTCAAAATGTAGGAGTGCTTTTTCAGAGAAACTTTATTTTTTCCCATCTTTATGTGCTACAACTGGAAACATTTCTGCCAGCAGATAAAGTTGTTGTTAATCTAAAGTTTTTCAATACATGTTAACACTACTTTTCTTTAAAGGTATTTAGGTTTTTTAGCTGTTAGTTGTATTTTCATGGTTTATTATGCAAAGCATGAAAACATAGTGGGATTTAAGCTGGCAACTGACCAGTGACTTCCAGGCATCATTTTCTATCTTCCTTATGTTATTTTGATTGGTTATCAACAGTGAATAAATGCAACATAAATACAGTGTAATTACAATATTTTCAAGTAAGTTTGTTTAATTTATCTGATTGCAATAGGGGTGGGTGGTCTTCTCTCTGTTGAAATCCTAACAACACCTACAATAAGGGTGCTCTCTTAAAAATGATAAACTAACATGTTCATGTACCCCTGAAAATTATTAACCCTTCTCTAACTTGCACACATGAGTAAAAATTCTCATTAATAGGTTTACTAATTACCCATTACCATTTGAGCTTCCTGAATAATTTAGATCCCACTGTGACAACTTGACCTTTGAATTTTCTTAAAAAGCGAATGGTGGTTGTGGGTCAGAAAAATATTTGGGAGGCTAAGAAAACAGCAAAATTCTTTCACATTTGGTTAGAACAAAAACCTGATGCCAGCTGTGTGCAGTGTTTGTATAGGCGATCATGTATCTTCAAGGTGCTGCTGCAGCTGTGCTGAAGGGACTTTATTTTTCTTTATTTTTTTGCCTTTGGCAGAATTTGGCTGCAGGGGCTCTGGAGCAAGGCCATATCTCAAAACTGATTAGACCTCACATTCCCATGCCTCCTCCACATCACAGGAGTCTGGAGACAACAGGGGACCCACGGCCTTTTCGCAACAAGCAGTTTGATCCTAACTTAGCTGTGCAGAGGATTTTCAAGATTTTTAAAAGTCTATGGTCAGCTTTAACGTTAATACTCTCAACGATAGATGCAGCAGAGATTGGTATTGAAATATAATGATTTTTAAAGTGTTGTGCTAACAAAAGTGTCACTTAGGCTTTAAAAAAATATGCAGGACAATTAGAAGTAGGAAATGACAGTTTTATCTCCTCTACCTGCTGTTGTTTGGTCAGAAGAGAGTGCAGGAAGAAAATTAGATTGTTTTTGTTTACCTGCTGTCCTGCCAGCTTCTACCAGTGAGTCTGCTGGCAACCTGGCCCACTACCTCAAACATGGTGCAGTCTTGGGACAGAACAGTGAGGCTAAGCTGTGACTTTTTCCACAGAGGAAACCAAAACAGTCTGCTCTGCTTCTTTGACCTTGTTTATTAAAGGTTTCACAGCACTTTCCTCTCATGGTACCAGAAGGTTTAAATTCTTATTTCCCTGTTTATAATTCTAGTCTCTTTTTATAGCTAATAATAACTATTATTATTATTATTATTATTATTATTATTATTATTATTAGATTTTATATCTAATGACCTTTCTGTCAAATTTATGTATAGGTATTCATCAAAAAGTAATGTATTTTTACTAATTGCTTTTTCGTACATTTGATTACAACTGATAAGCTGGATTGTTTGTACATCAAAACAAGTCCAAAGTATTTTGAGCATTTTTTAATTACTAAATGTTGGCACAATTTTATTGAAAAGCTCCAAACCAGCAGCACCAATCAATTTCAAGTGATTTTCTTGTTTTATAATACTATATACTATAAAAACTGCTCAATTCAGTAAAGGCTACTTTTGAGAACTATTAAAACAGTGTCCTTGAATAAAAATATTGTCAGAAATGTCTTATAGTTTTGCTTTCTATTGAATAAAAATAAAAAATACCTTTACTTGTTTCAGAACTTTGACTCAATACAGACTGGGGTATGTATTGAGCTATAATTACCACCTCTGGTTAGAATATGGAAACTTCATAATTCCCTTAACAATAAAAAAAATTTTCCCACTTGGTCATAATCTTGATATATGTTGTGCACCGTGTTAAGTGTGGAAATGGAGGCACGTTTTCTGTGCTTTTCTGTTGTCTGTTTATCAACAAGATTGAATAAAAATTAGGATACCTGACCAGACTTGATAAAAGACGAAGTTTGGGCAACAGAAGACTCAATAAATATTAAACACATACCTAGACAACCAAAATAAAAGGATTCACTAGTCTTTTATTAATTTCTGTTTGTTGAACTTCGAATCTGAGATTCTGTAACCCTGCTAAGCTATTGAACATGACTGGGTGTCTGTATTGAGGGTATTTTCTTCAACAAAAAGTCCAACTTAATAAGGATTGTTTTATTATTCACAGACTCTGTGTTATCTGAGGCTGCAAAGTGAATGTCCTTGAGCAAAAACAAAGAAAAGAATGCTTGTTCATTCTCTGGGAAAAAGAGAGACAGATACAACATCAAGAACTGTTGGGTTAACTTAACAAACCATAAAAATTACTACTTAAAATTAACCTAAATATACTAAAACCAACCATAACATAAAAATAACTACTTTACTAAAGACATGACTCAAATTTCAGGTTCCTCTAATGTACCATGAAATGTTCAAAATTTCACAATGTACACATTCACATGCTTTATTGTTATAAAACAAATACCAGGAAGCAGGAACTGCAGCTCATTCCACTCAAACACCTCAGAGGATGCAGATAAGGACAGACTAATGTGTGTTTATCTGAATCCATGAAATTGACTGCTGGACCAACTTTAATCAGTGACACATCAGATGCAGTATAACAGCTAGAGAGCATATCTGAATGCCTTTTCACCCAAACTAGACATCAAAGGGGTTAATTTGACATGTGGCACTAATCCCTGTACAACAGATGGGATTTAAGGAGCCATTTCTCAGTAATTACAGGGGTGACTTATAAATAGCCTTTATGTCTGATCATAAAATCAAGTAAAAAGCAAGGGACTGATAAAGGCTTAATGTAAATAATCTATTTTTTTTTCCAAGCTGAACTATTATACTACATCAATGTTAGTCTTGAAATTGTCTAAATGAGAGTTGGAATTCACTAGATTAGAACATTTTCTGCCAGTTAATCTTGATAATCCTTGACCAGTGAAAAAAAAAACTAAGCAGGGTACTACCTTAACTTTTTAATGGAGGAGCAGAAAGATGGACACATATATTTTGTACTTTGTACTATTTTGTACTTTGGTCAAACTAACACAGACACATTCCAACTAAGAGTTCTTGGAGACAAACAACAAAGAAACGTATCATCCTGTTCCAGCTGAGAGACAAAAGAATTTACAGCCTGGCATTTAAAGGTGAGACAATCTGAACAAAGATTTTGCTCAAGTGCTGCTTTATTAAGAATGAATATAAAGTATAATAATCAAGCATTTAAAAGTTGCTGTTGTTCTGTAGTTATAGTGCATTTGTACAGAAGAAAATTTAGGTTCTGCCTGTTTTTTTTAAAACACTTGATGAAAGTGTCATTTATTGCTATGATGTAAATATTGACTCATATGTCCTCCTGGCAATGAGACATATTTTTTGTCCTCTGTAACAAAGGGGTTTCTAAATAAGGACTGAACAAGTCAAAAAAAAAAAAAAAAAAAAACAGTAAATAAAAATAATTAGAATTTCTTCCACAATTTATACCGTGCATAAAGTTTTGTTTAATAAACACTAACATCTCACTCAGACAAAAAGCTGGGTTCTGTAAACAGGCTTTCTCATACACTTGACACTGCTGGCTCAAGTTGCATTATGAAAAGATCTTCTCGCCCCGTTAAAACCCCTGTGAACTCACCAGACGGAACAAAATGGAGGACTTTTTTGGAATTCATGTTCTTCAGGCTTTCAATAAAGATGCTTTCCATGAGTCAACCCATTATCCCTCTTCCCTTCATCCACTAGTTTTTCTTTCTTAATATTTTTCCCACACACACATCATGGGTTTGGACACTGAGGTGAAGTCACCTCCCTGCACCTCCTCCAGGAGAGCATGGGAGGGGAGGGCAGAGAAAAAAGATTGAGAATGTGAAACATTTTTTTTTTTTTCCTCTCTGTTTTATACTCTTGAGTTTAAGAACTAGAGCATTTCAATAACATATTTCTAAAGACAGACAGGTATTTTCTTTTATTTCTTGTTTCTGTAACATTTAACTTAAGTTTCAGATGCCACAATAGGAGCCTCCTTTTAGGACCTTACAATGAGGTTTATAACATTAGATGAGTGCTCGTCCCGTGGTGCACCAGTATCATAATTTACTATATTTGTGGCAAAATGTTTTTACTGACTCAAAAAATTCCTCACGTATTCCTCAGCATGATCAGCACATTTTTTGGAGGGATGGCTCGCTGCTGCTGACAGAATGTCCGTGTACCTGAACATTTAACTCGCATTCAAAACTGCCAGTAAATTCAATAAACATCAATAGGTTCGTCAAGCTGTTAAGCGTTGCCTGAAAAATGATAAGTAATCAAGCATGGTTTGACCAATGTTTGCTTGATTCAAAAGGAAATCAATCTTGGTATGCATCTATATTATGTCGTCTTTTTTTTTTCGTAGCAACATCTCATACCGCCACAACAGTTCAAACCTTAGATAAAGAACAATCAGCAGTGGCATTAATCAGTTTAAAAAATACATTTTCTCTATAAACACATAATTAATCTGCTAATATTATGCTTAGAAGGACAGTTTCTTTAACTAAAACAGTCAAGAGCAACAACAGCAACACCCCAACTTAATTTGGTCAATCACAGTTTTCTGATAGCAGTGTGCAAAGACACAAAAAGCTACATCAAATAAACATTGTCCATAATAGCAAAAAGGACTTTCAAGCTTATGGAAATACACAAATAAGTGTTTAACAGACTATATAACTCCATAACTCTGAGATTTTCTGTTAACATGAGATCAGCAGATCAGACTTATCTCTTGTTTGGGTATGTGTTCAAAAAAGGGGTTCAGGGGTTGCTGCAGAAAAATGTTACTAAAAAGCAAAAAGTTTCTCACTCAAGCCTTTTGACACACTGGCTTATTAAAAGCAGTAAATATTACTAGTTTGTCAACTCTGAAAACTGTGGAAATTGTTTCTCATAAATGTTCTGATCTCAAACTAACTAATAATATGAAACCATAGCCTTATCTTCGTCGTACACTGCCTAGTACGCCCTTGAACTCACGTTTTGTTAGATTGCAACCAGAAATTGCAGTGCATTTCTTGAGGATGGAATGTGACAAAATGTAGAATTTTGAAAATGAAAACTATGCATGTTTTTTTTTATGTTTTTTTTTTTTTAATAAAAACAGGAAAAGTGGGAAATGCATTCTCATGAATTCCTTTTCTTTCTGATATCCTGAAATGCAGAGATAACCCCGAGTCCATTTGTGTAGTCAGTGCAAACGCAGTTGTTCTCTGAAGGCCTTTATTAAATGAATATCAATATATGAGATTCTAATGATGACAAATGTTATTTATTCTGATTTCGGTGTTGGCTCCATGCTGCAGTCCGTACACTAGCGCCATCAGCTGATAACAACTGCTACAGCATTATAAAGTTGGAAATACGATGCAATCTAAGTTGGGCATTCAATATAGTGCCATTGTGGTTTAAAAAGGATGCATTAAATAAGTATGCATATATATTCTCTGAAAACACTCTTGATAAAATGAATAAATTAAATAAAAATGAGATCTAAAAAAACACAAAAACTGTGAAAGAAATGTAAAATTGAAAAGGAAAAGCAATATTACTTAATCAATGAAACTAACTCAAAGAATTTCATAAAAAGTATTGATTTAAGTAAATTTTCAGATTAATCTGAGGGAATAACGAGGTGTAAAAAGAAAACTGAGCTCAGTGTTGTTTTGGCAAAGTCTAATTATCTTATAAACATATAATAGCTGTCAGCCTTGCACAAATTGATAGTTTTTTCAGCTGAAAAAAAAATCACATTAAACAAGAATACAAAACCAACCCTAACATTCTTGATCACCAGACAAACTTGATCTCACTGCCATTGCTGCGCTACAAATTACGATCCTTATAAAAACTTTACAGGTTGATTGTAAATAGCACCAAAGGTCGTTGTGGAAAATACCTTATGCAATCAGAAAAGTTTTTATTTCATGCAGGGGAGCTTGAGATTTATTGTGGTGGTGGATGCAAACAAATCCAAAGAATCCTGCTTAGTTTATCACATGGTGGTGGCAGGTGCAGGAGATCAGAACGATGAACTAAACAATGTTCTTGTCAGATTCATGACTAAACAAACAAACTTAACAATTTAATAAATAAAAGTGGACGTGAGCCTGCTGTCATCTTTATGCCACAAGATGGCAGCAGAGTCTCTTCTGAAGTAGCAAAGAATCATCTTCCTATCATGTCATGCAAACAGCAATGTCTGTAGAAAACATGTTATCTCATTTTTAATCCCTAAACCTTTTATTGTGCAAACTTTCAGTTTTGGGTGACCTTGATTATGGTCTTGAGAGAGATTAATTATAAACTAATCCATATGGAAATCTTTGAAGAGAGCAAAAATGTTTATTTCAATCCATAGAAACAACATGCTTATAGAGTAACAATTACTGAATGTTTCTTTTATAAACAACTTTACATACATGAGTATTTACATTTCTATTCAATTATGCTTTAAGCCATATTACCATGTTTTCTGGACTATAAGCCGCAGTTTTTTTCATAGTTTGTCCGGGGCTGCGACTTATGCTCCGGAGCGATTTATGTGTGGAAATTAACACATCGTTATATCATATCACGTGTTATTTTCACACTAAACCACAAGAGGGCGCTCTAGGCCTGTGTTATTCTATTTTCGGAGTTATCAGAGTTTTTTAAAAGCAACACGAAGATGAAGACTTAGTGATTTGGAGTGACACGGTTGGTTTGGTAAACTTGTTAGCATGTTATTTATGCTATAGTTATCTGAATAACTCTTAATATGTTATGTTAACTTACCAGGCTCATTCTTAGGTCGTTGTTTGTCATGTAACATTAGCATACCGTACAATTATTCAGCCTGTTATTTCCCTCAAAAATGTCTTATACTCCAGTGCAACTTATATATGTATTTTTCTTCTTTATTATGCATTTTATGGCTGGTACGACTTATATTCCGGTGCGACTTATAGTCCGGAAAATACAGTAATTGGGGTAAATTGAGTGAGTATCTTAAGGTTTTTGCAGCAATTTGTTAGAACTTTGATCTGTTCCTCCACAACTGGATTCAGTAAGTCCAATTTGTAGCCAATTTGACAACACATACTTAAAACTTTGAACATATATGGGACTGAGATCAGGGCTTTATAATGGTACTTTGTTGTTCTAAAGCCAATTTGTAAACAATTTGGCAGTACACTATGATCATTGTCCAATTGGAAGACCCATTTGAGTCCAAACTTAAATTCCTAACTGAGATCTTACACTTGTGTTGTCCAAAATCTTTTCATCTGATGTTATGTAAAACACTGTCCTGCAGCAATATGCTGCCACCACCATACTTCACAGTTAGTTGTTGTCAGGCTCCTTCCTTCGCCCTTCAATTGTACCAATGCTAATAATGGCCAAACAATTTTAGTTATAATTTTAATTTTCAGCAGTCCACAGGACACATCTTTAAAATGTAAGGTCTTTGCCCCTGAGTGCATTTGCAAACCATAATCTGTTATGTTTATGGCTTCTTCATCACTTAGTGGCCTTTTAGTCCTGGGCTCAACTGACTGTGAGCCCAGTTGCCTTGTTGCTTAAATATTCTATAAATATAAACATGACTTGACTTAATCAGAGATGTAAAAAGCCACGGCTGGACTTTTATAATAGTACAGTGATGTAAGTTCAGTGTGTTTATTCTTCTGAATTTCATTAAAGTAATGAAAAAAATATTAAGAATTACATCACTCTTATTTTTAAGACATAAAGAAGAACATCTTGGTAATACCGTCTGACCTGATACAGGAAATGTTTAGTCATTATGTGTGGGTTATGTATGTGTGTTTTTCACCTGTGTGCTCATATGAACTGTATGAAGTCAGTCAGTTTCTGTGAAACATTAATAAAGTTAAACTCCACAAGAACCTCAAGGCATAAACTGGATCAAACACTCTTACAAAACCCCTGAAAGGCTAATGCTATAGGTGTAAAATAGAATAAATACAAAGGAAAATGAATAAAAATACTTCCTACGTATTTCAGGTTAAATCTATAAACAGTCTGTAACAGCAGACAGAAATTAAGCAGTGAATGACGTATAAGAGCAACTGAAGTAATTTCTGACAAAACTATAAATGTTTAACCGATTGAATGTCAGATCTTACAGTGATCCTTATTGCAGTCAAACATTAAATGTGAACACACGTGTGGACAAACTGTGCTTGCTGACTTTCCAGATGAGAGGACAGAATCAACCCTCTGTTGATTCTGTCCTCACACTGCAGCTCATGTACATCATGAACTGAGATTTTAAAGCTGTGCTATGGATCAATAAACATCACGCTTAACCTATCTGATATTCCACGGTTCTGTAACTTTAAGTCTTAAAGATTCAAATTAATGCATCATTGGAATACTGGGTCAAACTGTTTAAAGAACCTCCAAGTATATTTGTGGGACTTATACTTATCATTAACACACTTTCCTCTCTCAGCTCTCGCTGCTACATTCACAACCATTAACTAATCTATTTCTACACATGAAAATATTAGTTGGAGAGACAATACTTAATTGTGTAACTGAGAATGAGTTCAGAAATACTGTAGAATGGTCACCATGTCAGGCTTTTTATATAAAAAAGCAAATATTTTGCATTTAACATCATTGCATAGCCCTTACCTTCGGCATAGCGATTCACTGTGACTCCTGGCATCTCCTCTATTTCCTTTTTGCTCTTCATCAGGCCTTTTTATTTTGAGTTTAAGCAAGAAGTGAGAGAGGTTAGTTAAGAAGGAGATGAAAATTCAAAATTCTTCTCTTGCAAGAACTGCAGCGTGAGTGGACTCCCAGACAGACATCACAGTAAATGGGAACCGGGTCACTGCAAATGAGTAACATCTTAATGTCTTTCCTGCCGATCACAGACGATCTGACTTGCACAGATTAAAGTAATAAAGAGGTTTGAGGTGGGCTTTGGGCAAAGTAGAACGATAGAGATGAGGGTGAATAAACTATTTTTAGCACATGCTGGCCATCTTTGATGTTTGATTTTACTGTTTTGTGATTTGTTGACATGAATGAATCCTTCCTACGTTTAATTATGAATTCCACCTCTCTTTTTACATATCGTTCCTAGAGAGCTGCTGTTTTTAATGATATTAGTCACGTTAACAATTATAGCAACGCAAACAATTTAGAGTACTTTCAATATTCTGAGTTAAATGCAGAACACTGTTGCAACATTGTTGTACATTTTTTCATTTGTTTATTTTTACCTCTGTATTATATTGCCATGAGAGTTTTGACTTGTTAAAAAAAGCATCTAAAGATATTGTTTCTCAAACAAGGTCTTCCTTAAGATCTTTTAAACATGTATTCTTTAAAATTGTCTGTATAATTCATTTCATTTTTGTATTTAATTAGAATTTTATTTGCATGATTTATTTTTGTAAAGGATTTTGGATTTTTACCTACGTAAAAGCAAATGGTTTCTGAAAATCAATGCTTTTTCACTCCTGGTATGAACCACACCCAAAAACAATGAAATCTAAATTTAGAGCAATCACCTACCTCTTTGTGTAATCTGTCACTGATTATGTCAGCTTTCAAAGACAAACACCACATGTTCAATGCACATGCGACACGTTTCCCTTTCCACTGCCGATTTCCTGTAAAGGTTTGTGTAGAGATGTAGTTTATAGAAACTTTATCTCACTGATGACCAATTTTTTTTTTTTTCAAACTCTATCTTAGTCACTTTTTAAATATTCTTAGATGAGCCAAACAAATATTTGCTATTTGGGCACTGCTCTCAGAAAGAATTACCCACTAACAGATATCTTCTGTTTTTATGTTTTTGTAGCGCCTAAATACTTTTGATTATTTACTTAATTTAATATCAAGAAAAACTTGAGTAAATACAAAAACCATAATTGTTAAAACTCCCCTTTTCTCTCATCATTTTGCGGAATGTTTATGCAAAAGTCTCGGGTGTTAAGATGTTATTTTTGGCAAATGTGAGCTGTGCCTCTGAGTCTTCCTTGGCCAGCAGGAATTTTTGGCTTTTTAACTTTTTTATGGATGACATATCTTCAGTCTCTTATTGTTCATACATGAACACTGAACAATGACTTTGAGTAGATGTGCCCTCTCTTCTTGAATGTCTGTAGATAAGAAAATTGTGCATGCACTTCTGAAAACTTTTCATCTACATTATGTTTAAACTGGTTTGAATGATTTCCTCTTTCTACAGGTCTAGCAATAGCACCTCTTTGACCTGAGCTTTGCAGAGAGCATGGTTAACCCATTGTCAATTAAAAATTAACAAGGAGGATTACTTTTTAGGATATGGAATCCTTTATTTATACAGGAAAAATCTCTTGAGACAATGAGTCTCTTTTGAGACTCACAGAGCAACCTGTTACATCACGAAAACATGAAAATAACAATGCAATCTGTTAAACACTTCTAAAAATGAAGGTTGATGTGGATAGCTTTTTCCTCTTAAAAGAGGGTTTTGGTATTTACTCAGGTTAATCGTTTAATCATATTTGAAGAAAATTAGAATCCATATGTGATGTAGTCAAGGAATGCATCTCCACAAGCTGTCCTTTCTACTACATGGCTTTGTTTTAGTTTACCTTTCTGGGGCCTCCCTTACGTTTTACTCAGTGTTGGGCTCTTTTTTCTGTCAGACATGTCGGTGAAGGGTATTTAAAAAATGCTGCATAAGGCCTTTTATTATATTTACTAAGCTCTAATTATTCACTTTGTCAATATTTTGTTAGTGAATAGCTATTAACTAGCAATCAGCAATGGTTAACAAAGTGCATCGTTTGAAGTAGTACACACACTAAATGTCTTTTTAATGTGGCTGGTTTCAACAGGATGAAGATTCCTTTTCAATGAGGTAAACTGCTGCAAAGGCTTCATGCAGGTGCTTTGGGTTAATGAAGCAAAAATAAGGTAACAAGTGACTCTTTGTTTTGCTGATCCTAGTGGAGATGCTACTTCTCTGTGTCTAGCAGTAAAGTCTGAACAAGATAATAAACCACAGTGAACCTGAGAGATGAACTAGAAGCTTCAAAAACAGGGATAATAACTCAGATGGGGGGCTTATTTTCTGCTTGAGTAGACCCGAGGCACTCAGGCAGCACTAATAAGGGGTGAGGGAGGACTTGGATCAAGGTAGCTTAATGCTGCAATGTACTGTTATGCTGCACAGGGGGCATATGAAATCCTGCCAGTTTTAGGATGATATTTATAAAACATCAACTTCTTTCACTGCAGCTCTTTCAGACGCAGTCCTGGGACCAATCTTTCATCTCTAAAGCAAAACATTTGATTAGCTTTACTGAGGAGATAATTTCAGTTAGTAAAAATCTCTGATCATAAAAAAAATAGGAGAAAGAAGCATATGTCATATAATTTTCTGTTTGACAATAGAATGAAAAAATGTTCAACATATGCTCCATGCCATATTCTTTAGTTTTTATATTTCAAATGTCTGAGATTAATGAATCAATGCATATTAATTGTCACATATATGTTTTGGCCTTCCATTCTGCCTTGACAGCAGAAAGAGACAAGTTCTGCAAGTTGTCTTTGTGACAAAACAACAAAAGAAAACTGAATGACTGAGCTCCTTTACAGAGAGAAGCATCAGAACAATCGGAGAAGACAATGAATCACCCTTAGTGCACTTACAACAGTCAGTTCAGTGACACTGAGGTGGATGTTCTGAGAAACTAAGTGTGATGAATGTGTTTTAAAGACATTTTTACAGCTCACCATCAACATTAGGGGGCAGTATAACACTGGATCAATTTCCTGCAACAGCCACGCTTTACTTCCTCTCGTTCTTTATATTTGTCATTGTTGGATTTTAAATGAATAATAAATGAAAACTTATATAAGCCTGTAAGCATGTTGTTGCAATCAGCAAAATGTAATATTTTTTGGACGGAATCCCTTAACATGAATGTGATGAAAATGAAATGTGGTTATTCGGGAACATTGCTTATTGGCAGGGACTGTGTATTCTTAAGTAATAACTCTTTTCACATTCCTAAACTAACAAGCTGTTTTTTTTAGTTTAACTAAAGAATCTTCCAAGAAATAACATTTACATAAAAATTTCCCTGCTTTTGCCAACATAACTCAAAATTAAGCTGTTTCCACTGATTGTACTTGAGATTTTTTTAGCGATTGAATTGAGTCCACCTGTGATAAATTCTGTTGATTGGACCTGATTTGGAAAGACGCACACCTTTATATATAATGTCTCTCAGTTCATGAGAAACCCAATGCTCTGCTCTGATGAAACAAATAATGACCTCTTTGGTGTGAATGTCAGATGTCATGTGTAGAAGAAACCAGGGCAGGGCTCGTCATCTGGAGAATGGGGGCAACATCATTCTACAGACATTTTTTGCAGCAGGAACTAATTAGGACAGAGGAAAATATGAATGCAGCAATGTCCAGATACATCCTGAATAAATCCTGCTGCAGGATGTCTTCAGTCTGAGGCAATGGCTCATTTGTCAGCAGGACAACAACCCAAGATCTTAAAGGGGTGGCTTCAGAACTGCCTGTGAATGTCATGGAGTGGCCAAGCCAAGTCCATGTGAGTCTGACTCAACACATCTGGAAAGATGTGAAATTGACTGAAGGATGTCTGTCATCCCAGCATGATGGAGCTGGAGTCGAACTGCATAAAGATGGGTGTGCTAAGCTGTGACAATTTTATTTATTTATTCAATAATCATTTGACCAGTAAGTAAGTGCTGATGTTAATAATTTCAACGCTCAAATGAACAATTTCTTCTTCAAGGGAGATCAGGCAATGATAGGTAGCAGCATAAAGTATTCAAAAAATGTGGAGGTTATAATTTCTGCCAGAGGTTTAGCAAAGTGTTCGGCAAAGGCTGTGAACTCTTACTTAAATGTAATTTCTTTTCTCTATTTTTTACTTCTTATGTTGTAGAGAATAAGAGGTATTATTTATTTCAGGTATTACTGAAATAGATCAAGTGAAATGCTGCCAACAGGCAGGTGTTGACGTGATCTGCATCTGGACCTAAATCTGCAGAAAAGTTAGTGGATATCTTCAGGAAAGAAGACAGACGGAGAGTCTTTTGCCCAGACCAAGACTTCTCTTCAGGCTAAATTGCTGCTTGGTGTAGTCTGAACAGCTTCAATGCAGTGATAGTGACTGAGTGAGGGCAAGTCTGGTCTGAGAGTTGGATGTGAAATGACATCTCCATACACTGAACCCACCAGCCCGTTGCCTTCAGAATGTCTCATTTAGCACCAGAGCAGAAATGCAGAGAGAAACGTTCAGATACATTAGTGTTGTGGAAATGGTCCAAGGTTAACAGATTGAATCATCTGAGCTTTCAGGTCAACAGTAGTACTTTTTTTTAAACTGAAAGAAAGATAACAGCTCATGTTTTCTCTTGAATGTCTCGCCAATTACATTTAAACCAGTTCAGCTGCCACTTCATTTAATTGATAATCAGGATTTTTTTTTCTTTTATTACTATTTTGCTAAAATATCAAAGGGTCTGTTTTATTCAGGCCATTCAATTAATTGCACTTAGTTCTATGTTCACTATCAAGCTGAAGTATAATACCCAACACATTAAGTTTGATGGGAATAAAAACTGATTGCATAAAGTCACGTATGTAAAGAGACTTTCTTCATGTTAATAGATACAGTATGAAAACATTGCTGACTGTTTTCATATGAATGTGGTTTTACAGAAAGAGTTGAAGTGAAAGATGAAACTTCATAGTTTGCTCTGCAAAC